CAAGCCTGTAGCGGGTAGTCCAGAAAGTGGAGAATCTAGTTCCTGTAGGTATTGTCTGTACTGACTCTGGGCCTCAAAGGAAATACCACTGCTACCAAATATTTGTTTTCACTGTGTGAAGATGTGTCACTGTTATTGGTTTAATAAAGAGCTACATGGTAAATAGGTAGCCAGAAGAGAATAAGGGGGATTTCCAGGGAGAGAGAGAACTCTGGGAAGAAGAGAGGTGGTGTTGTAGAATAATATTTTAAGGTGTGTTACTTTTGTTTATGTTGCATTTGTTTAACTCTGTGAAGCTGTGTTACTTTGCCTGTGTAAAACACCTGATGATTTAATAAAGAACTGAATGGTCAATAGTGAGGCAGGGGAAGGAATAGGCAGGGCTGGCAGGCAGAGAGAGTATATAGAAGGAGAACTCTGGGGGGAAAAAGAGTAGCCAGAAGAGGACTCCAAGGGCCAGCCACCCAGCTACACGGCAAGCCATGGGGTAAGAGTAAGATTTACAGAAGTAAGAGAATGGGAAAAGCCCAGAGGTAAAAGGAAGATGGGATAGGTTAAGTTAAGGAAATCTTGAAAGAAACAAGCTAAGTCCAGGCATTCATAATTAAGAATAACCCTCCATGTATGATTTATTTGGGAGCTGGGTGAAGGGCCCCTCAAAATAGAAAAATCATCACTAACATTCTGGCATACCAACATGGCACTTGAATTTCCATAGTGCCTGAGAAAGCTTGAAAAAAAAAATACGGCTCCTTTAAGAGTTTCTGCTGGACAGTTTCTACTGGTCACTGAGCCCTTGAGCAGACAGTACATTAAGTAGGAACAAAACACTAAGTAAAAATGCCCGCCACTGCACAAGCATAGGCATTCTAGAGCTCTAGGAAGGTTGAATGCAGTTCCTGGTCAGACCAACCTCTGACCAGCCCTGAGTTTCACACTTGGTTTTCATGACCCAAGAAGTGGGCAGAGCCAGCTGAGCGCCTTGTGCAGAGGATCCAGGTGTAGATTAGAAGTTTAAAGGCTGAAGATACACAATAAAAGAGGTCTAGATGGAAAAACTTCCTAACAGGTTCCATTGTGTTTAACAATGTGTGTAGGTTCAAGAAAAGAAAAAGTGTATAGTCATAGAAAGAAATGAATAGTTTAAAAATAATAAAGTCTTTAAAGAGAGAGTAAAAATAATGTAAAAGAAAAAAGCCACGTAAGATGGGAAATACACAGGGAGTCTGGATCCTGTATGTTATTGATTTTGAATTTTTTGATTGTTGAAAAGCAAAGGACAGCTGCAAAGAGATCTGGAATTGAAAGGGACTGTTGAACTAAATCAGCCTATACACTTTAGGATTGCCTTAACTTTTAAAAAGTTAAAAAAAAATTTATCAAATGGAAATCAAAAGAGCTTTGGAGTTTTTTTTCCTTACAGGAGATGAGAGGCTGTGGATTCCTTCAGGGTTAATATGGATCAGATTGGATCAGGTTTGATCAGGCGAGACCTCCTGAAACTTGACAGGTGATATCTATCAGCAAAGGTTACTTTTACTGCTGGTCTTCCCAGGACTTGGTCATTATCTCAAAATTTTCTCTCTGGGACCCTAAAGATACTTCACCCATAGACAACAAAAAGTAGTTTGAAGAACAGGACATCCACATTCCCAAGAGGGGTGTAGGAGGCTTTTGGTTATGGTGGGTTATGGATGTTTGTTATCATTTAGGGGAATATAGACTATTGATACAAATTTAAAGTTATTTTTGTTACACTGTATATATGTTTCTATTCTTGTTTGGGGGATTTTTGTATATTGATAAAAATTTGAGGTTATTTTTGTTACAACATATCATACGTATGTTTCTATTTTTGTTTGAGGTATTGTGTCTATGCAGTTCATTTGGAAATGTAGGGTGAAGTTCTAGTTTTTGAAAGCTATTATTATAAACTGTATAGGATAATCAGGAATACAGGTTAGTGGTTAGTCATTTATAACAATCAAAATTGTAGATATGTTAGGTATGCTTTCCAGATCACATAGAGATATATTTAGATAAATAAATGGTTTTCAAATACTTTGAAGACCTACAGGATATGGCATTTAAAATGTTTTGTTAGCCGGGTGGTGGTGGCGCACGCCTTTAATCCCAGCACTCGGGAAGCAGAGCCAGGCGGATCTCTGTGAGTTCGAGGCCAGCCTGGACTACCAAGTGAGTTCCAGGAAAGGCGCAAAGCTACACAGAGAAACCCTGTCTTGAAAAACCAAAAAAAAAAAAAAAAAAAAATGTTTTGTTAACTTCAAGTTTTTCATGACAATAAGACACATCTGCTTCTGACAGCAACAATTTACTTCAGAGAAGATGATGGGTATTGAAGAAACTCCTTATGGAGTTTGCTTTCATTGTGGCAAGGTTAGCCACTGGGCAAAGAAACTGTTCTTGCCTTTGACTGTTGACAATGTGCTGTGCAGACTGGACATGCAGTACACACAGGAAAAAGAACTGTTGAATTTTGTCAAAACAATGCAGAACAATCCTTCAAAATTCCTGCTTCACAGAAGAGTCTGCCAGACATTCTGCAGGACACAGGAAAGTGACTGATGAATTTTGCCAATACAAGGCAGGACAGTCCTTCAAATTTCCTGCTTCACTGAAAAGTGCCAGATACTCTGGGCCTGTAGGCTGAAGATAGATGCCCTAAAACTGCAGAGGAGCTTTAGGTGACTGTCCAGGCAGCCAAATGCCTCTGTTGTTAGGTAATATTATACTCTTCTGGGTCTTTGATGGAGTTGAAGACTGAATAGTTATAGTTGCAATTTTTCTTTGTTATAATAGAAAGTAAGTTAAGTGTAAAATTTTGGATTCACTAAGACAGGATAGATAATGCATTATTTTCTTTGGACTACAAATGGACAGAATATTGTAAATGTAATTCTTACTTGATAACTGTTTTTGCTGTAGTTATACTATGCTAAAGTTAAAACCTTTCATTTTATTTAGACAAAAGGGGGAAATGTTGTAGAATATTATTTTAAGGTGTGTTACTTTTGTTTATGTTGCATTTGTTTAACTCTGTGAAGCTGTGTTACTTTGCCTGTGTAAAACACCTGATGGTCTAATAAAGAACTGAATGGCCAACAGTGAGGCAGGGGAAGGAATGAATGGGCAGGACTGGCAGGCAGAGAGAATATACAGAAGGAGAACTCTGGGGGGGGGGGAAAGAGTAACCAGAAAAAGAGGAGGACTCCAGGGGCCAGCCACCCAGCTAGACAACAAGCCATGGAGTAAGAGTAAGATTTACAGAAGTAAGAGAATGGGAAAAGACCAGAGGTAAAAGGTAGACAGGATAGGTTAAGTTAAGGAAAGCTGGCAGGAAACAAGATAAGACCAAGCATTCATAAACAAGAATAAGCCTCTGTGTGTGGTTTATTAGGGAGCTGGGTGGCAGACCTCCTAAAAAAGAGCAAAAACAACCAACAACAAGGCAGAGGTTCACCAGGAGACTCAGAAGAAGTTGGACATATGGTACAGAGCAGAGGTAACCGAGCCACATGACAAAACGTAGATTAATAGAAACAGGTTAATTTGAGATATAAGAACTAGTTAGAGACTATCCTAAGCTAAAGGCCAAATCTTTATAATTAATAATAAGCCTCCATGTCATTATTTGTGGGTTGGTGGTCCCAACGAAAAAGTACAACTACATACCACCTTCCCAACCAGGGAGTCATCTGCTAATTTGGATATACCTGTATAATTTAAAATACACTGCTGGGGTTGGGAATGGAGCTCAGTTGGCCAGAGTGCTTGCCTAGAATGCACAAGGTCTTGAGTTTGATCCTCAGACAGTGCATAAAGCTACACATAATAGTAGTGTGTACCTGTAATCCTAGTATTGTGTCGATGGAGGCAAAAGGATCTAAGTTCAAGGTCGTGATTCCTGCTACATGGTGATTTTGAGACCACCTTGTCTCAAAACAAAAACACCCCAAACTTGTCTTTTTCCATTTCCACAACTGTTCAAGGTGAGCATCATTTTCCCACCTCTGCCACTTCATGTGTAAACTTACCAGTATAACTGCTTATGGAGATGCTGAGGACAAGGGAGCTGCCGAACTCACAGTAGCACATGTGACTGAGTCATGTGAATGTGGATGGCAAGGCTCAGCAATGTCAAAACCATTTAGTGGGGCCAGCAAAATGTCTCAGAGAGTGAAAATGCTTGTGATGCACGCCTGATAACCTGGTTTGACCCCTGGGACTCACCGGGGGAAGGAGAGAACTGACTCCTCAGCCCACACCTGTAACTCTTATGACCTCTGTGCACATGTGAGCACGCGCGCGTGCTCTATGACTTGACCTAATGTGCAAATACACCTCTCTCTCTCTCTCTCTCTCTCTCTCTCTCTCTCTCTCTCTCTCTCTCTCTCTCACACACACACACACACACACACACACACTCTCTCTCTCTCTCTCTCTCTTATTCTCTCTCTCTCTCTCTCTCTCTCTCTCTCTCTCTCACACACACACACACACACACACACACACACACACACACACATAATAATAAAAAACATTTAATGCTAGCTTGGGGTGATGGTGCATATGTAACCTCCCTAGACTGAGCCTAAAGGATTGGAAGTTTGAGATCAGCCAATGTTACATGGTAAGACTCTCAGAAAACACCACCACAATCACCACCAGCAGCATCAACAAAGTGAACCCCAGAACCATCAACCCAGATATAGGTTAGTTACCCACATGAGGCCTTATTTTTCTTCTTTAAACCTGGTATAAAGTAGCTCCTATACCTGGATCTTTTTTTCACATGGGATGATTTACATAAAATAAATCATGGGAAAGCTTTTTATCAAAGTTTCTGGCAAACAATCACTACTTGACTCTTAACAGGTCCTAAATCCCCCTGAACGGCCCACGGATAAGCTAACATTGGACTCTAGGCCAGGGTGTGGTACTCCAAAACAGCTTTTGAAGGAAACAGACAATAAGCCAGATGAGGAGGAAATGGAGCCAACGTTTATGGAGAACTGACTACATTTCATACTACCATGCAGCAAAGCATGCCCCAGGACACCAGAAGGCTCGGGGAGCTTAATACTACCCCTAAGTCACAGAACAGGAGTGAGAGACGTGGGGTTAGACTGGCTGACCTGGGGTCCTGCAGCTTTGGTTACCTCAAGGAGTCTCACACTAGCACATCTCAGAATCATCGGCAGGGCTTTTCAAACTCTAGATTCAGGGCCTGGAGAGATGCTCAGGGTAAGAGCACTTGCTGCTCTTCTCAGGATCCAAATTGAGTTCCCAGCCTCCATATTGCGCAGCTCACACCTGTAACCCCAACTTCAGTGGATCTGATGCTTCATTCTGGATTCTATGGGCACACATATGGCATACACTCACACAGGCACAGACATGTAAATAAAGATAAGAAAAAATCTTTAAAAACACACCTATAATCCCTCCTCTGAAATGTGTGTTTCTAGCAAGTTCTCAGGTGATGTCAAGACTGATGGTCTGGGATGCTGTGGGGACATCGGCAGAAACTGGAGCTGCCTATCCTGTGAGACTCATTGTGATGACAGACGTCCCAGGCTGCCAGAAACTTCCAGGAGAGTCCAGGACTGCCCCGGGAGTACACTATGGGGTAGACAGAGAAAATATGTTCTTGTTGGGTTCCTTGTCTAAGGGGTATGGTCTGTGACCTCAGATAAGGGACTCCCAGTGGGTGTTTTATTATTTATTCACTTGACAGGGAATAGACGCTCAGTCCTATAAGACACCATGCTATTGGCTGAAGGATTTGCCATTGAGCAAAACTCCCTTGAGGACTCAGGAGGAGCTATTGCCTGGCCTGCCAAGGACAGCTCAGTCATTGCAGAGAAAAAAAGCCAGTTGAGACAGACAGACTCGCTGCTAGATCTCCCCAGAGAGCCTGTGCCCCACAGCCCTTCACAGACATTACACTCACACACTCCAGGCATTGTCAAAACAGTGGCCATGCTGGGAGCAAGACCTCCCAGCCAGAAGATGGTCTTAAAACCATGGCACACGGGACAATGTGTATACCTTACAAATATATAAATTAAAAGGTCTACGTGGATACAAAAGCTTTCTAAGGGGACTGAATTCCATTCTCTGTCATGCTAGCTATTGGTGAGGACCTCGAAAACAAAGTTTGTTTTCAATGGAGCCGGTATTAAAAATAGAAGGTATTATGTACAGGCTCGGCTTCTCTCATGTCCACCATGGAAGCCTCTGGTGTTGTCGGGGCCTCTGGGCAGCCTCAGCACCCCTACAGGCAACCCATCTGCGGTCTGCATCTTCCGAGACAGCAGAGGACTTGCCCCTGGACTTTTCTCCTGTGTCCCCATCTCAGCTTGGCGTCGTCTGCGAACCCAGGGGCTGCCTGAGGGAGTGACGCTGCTGTCCGAGGAATAATCCATGCACTTTCGGAAGATCTCAGGGCTGGTGCTAAAGTTCAGTCTACCTTCTTCAGCCAGTGGGGATTTTCTGGAGACGCCCTTGCGCTGGGCCAAAGGGCTACTCCAAGGGCTTGAGCATGGGGAGGCATTTGGGCTCAGAAAGATATTCTGGTGACCAGAAGGGCTGAGCTTGTTAGTGGCCATATGCCGCCGGCCAGCCATAGGAGAGGTGGGATTGCTCTCAGGGTCAGAGGAACTGTTGGCAGAAGACTCGTCCCCCATGTACTGAAGCTCCTCCACTCTCTTGTTCAGGGACCTGCTTAGGTGGGTACTTGCTGTGGACTCGTCATCATGGTTCTTATCTTTGAGAGGTTTCTTTTTAGGTGGCTTCATCCCAATCAAGACAGCTTTCATGTTGTCCCTGCCTTGAGATTCAGTGACCATGAATTCATGGGCTTTAATGGCTGCATCTACCTCCTCGAACTCCACGATGGCACACTCTTGGGTCCCCACCTGGCTGTAGCGGCTGCTGATCCTCCGGATGTCGGGGGGCAGCTCTCTCCCAGGTTTGAGGATCCGCACCGATGAGATGACTCCAAAAGTCCCAAAAAGCTTGAGCAGATGCTCCATCACCTTCTCTTGCACCCTTCCATTCTTCTGGGGCGTGGCCAGGGCCCATAGCTTAGGAGACAGGTGTAGGTCATACACCAGCAACATCTTGCTGGGGAGGTTCTCATTGGGGAACAGTGGCACAGGGGTGGTCCTCCTAACCTTCCGGTGGTCCTCATTCAACTCCAGGGTGACTGAATACTTCAAGGCATGTGCTGTGGTCCTCCAGTCCCGTGTGAGGTGTTTCACCTAAAGAACACAAAGCAGGTCTGAATGGTACCTCCTCTCCTCTCCACACTTGTACATGCTGTATCCTCCCTCCCGTCCCTCCTCACCTCTGTAGCACCAATGACTTGAGTCATACCTAGTGTGGGAGATACTCAAATACCAACCAGTCAGAGAATGAGTAAAGGAAAACTTTCTCCAGCCACTTCTTCAATGGTTTCTTTCCTTAAAAAATGTTTAATAAACTTTATTATAAAAAATTTCAAAAAAATATCATATGGTGAAATTAACCAGACCCAAAGTCTATGTATCTCACTGAACAGTTAGAACAGCCATTCTGAAACTGTGGGGTTTCACACTGGGCTTCACACTTTGACTATCAAATGTGTTTCACACAGTTATCCACGACCCAAAAGGAAAAATCCACAAAAGAGAACTAGAAAGATAACCAGCTTTAGATCCTGTTTCTTAACTCATGCCCACCACCTGCGTTCAGTCCTTCCTCGTCCTAATTAATATTCTTTCTCTCTTTTCTACATGTTATACTGCACTCACATGCATAGTTGTTCACATACATGCATATGCTATTGGCTAGATTCTGCATATCAGAGAGGACATCTTTTTTTCCTTTCTGAGATTGTGTGACTTCATTGAATATTATATATTCTAAATCCAACCATTTTTCCTGTAAATGTTGATTATATTTTTTTCCTTAGAGCTGCATAGTATCTATATATATATACACACACACATATACCAGATCTTTCATTATCCATTCATTTGTTGGTGGGCAGCCTAGACTGATTCCAAGTCTTTGCTATTGTGACTAAAGCCGAAAAAGTAACAATAGCTCTGGTTTCTCTTCAGATCATAAGCATCTTTTGCGGCTTTTTTAAAAAAAAAACAAAACACAGGACTGGGGATTGAACCTAGGGCATCATGCATGGAGCTCCAGTCACTGCCCTCCTTTCTCCAGCTTCTCATCGAGACAGCTGGGTTTGGAGCAGTGCTGGGCAGTGGAGTACCGCAGGACAGTAGGAATTCTCCCAAGCTCTCAGGTCAGATTCTGTATTCTCTAGAACTCTCTATTGTGTACATAGACCTAAGCCTCACCTCCATCCACTAGAAAGACTCAGCCTCTCACATATCCACCCTGCTCATCTGAGTGATAGAGATATTAAAAAAAATGTCTACTTCATAGCCCTGTTACAAAGATGAAATGATGAAATGAGGGCTTGGGGGACGGCTCAGCCGGTCAAGTGCTCATTTGTCACGCAAGCATCAGGACCTGAGTTTGACTCCCAGAACCCATGTGAAAAATCCAGGCAGGGTGACATGACATGGGCTCATCATCCCAGCAGCCACCAGCCAGCCAGGTCCAGGCCAGGGAGGGACCCTGTCTCAAAAAATAACGTGGCTGAGGAATGACACTAAAAATTAATCTCCAGCTACTACATACCTGCACTTACACATGTGTGCGAGCATGCATCACACACACACACACACACACACACACACACACACACACACACACACATGCGCGCGCGCGTTAAATGAACAGAAAAAATAGAGAGAGATACATTTGTACACAAAATTTAAAATAGCAGTTCACTCTCCAAGACTACTCAATAACTACATGTTATCACTGTTTCAAATACTTATGTCACAAGTGAGTTTTGGGTAGTACTGGGGACTGAATGTAGAATGTCAGGCAAGCAGTCTTCCATGAGCTATAGCCCCAGCCCAGATTTGTTTTTTCTTCTTCTCTGAGACAGGGTTTCACTCAATAGTCCAGGCTGGACTCAAACTCATGACCCCTCCAAAACGCTGGGATTACAGGCAGTCACACTGAATGGGCTGCTACTTTGGAAGGATTTGGAGGGTCTGGCATTCTCTGAAGCTGTGATTTACAGTTGATAAAGAGAAGCCCCCAAAAGATCTTCCCTGTTTCTCTATAATCTCCCCCGAAGAGTAACAGGCACAGACACCAAGTGGAATCACACTGACCTGGGCCTCTTGAAAAATGATGAAAACAACTCTTCCCTGTCCCTCCCAAGATGGAAACTGTGCGTGTCGATGCTGCAGTATATGAAAAGCTGTATTTATTTCATAAAACGGCAATTTTGTGGAGGCCCACTTCCAGTGAAGGGTGTGCCAGGGAGATGAGTCATCTCCCGAGAACTGGTGGATGTGGGTGGGGTGGGTAACCTGAGCCTGGATGGGGAAATCACCCCGAGTCCTCTGAGGCCTGGCCCATGAGGCTGATCTGCAGAGGAACCAGGAACTCCCCATGGGCTTCAAACAGAAAAGGCACAGAAAACAAGAAAGGAAGGCTTGCTCCCTGGGCAGGGCAGGGAAACCTCCACAGAGCCCTGAGTCCTGACTGACACACTGCTGGAACGTGGGCACTGTCCACTCTGGCCTGTGGCCTCTCATCATTAGCACGAAAAAGCCCCAAGTCACCTACAGAGAGACCTTGGGGGGATCAGCATGCCACAGAGAAGCAGGCCTGGGACTACAGTTGGATTTCTAGTGAACAAGTCAGTCAATCGGGAATTCAGAAGAGAGTGAGATGGATGAAGGTTACTGCAAGGTTGTAGAAAAGCCAAGGCCTGGCATGGTGGAGCCAGCTGTGAAAACAGCTGGGAAGGGAGCATGCGGGAGAGGCGAAGAAATCCTCCCTAAGCTTGAAGTCGGAGTACTGAAGCATGTGCTGCCTTACGAGGTAGGGTGAGAACTAGGGCAGGACCACGTCCTTCCAGAGAGGAGAGCTGTAGAAGACTGGGGAACACACAGAGGCGAGAGCCAGGTCTTCTGGGAAACCTGGGTTACTCTATGGGCATTTCAGGTCTGTGTCTGTGATGCTTTACTACGGTTTCCAATATCACATCAGAAAAGGAACTAGGGGCTGGAGAGATGGCTCAGTGGTGAAGCGCACAGGCTGCTCTTGTAGAGGACTTGAATTCAATCCCCAGCACCCACATGATGGCTCCCAACTGTCTATAACTCTAGTTGCAGAGGATCTGACGCCATCTTCTGGACTCTGAGGGTACTGCATATGCATGGTACACATACATACACTAACACACACATATACACACATAAAATAAAATAAATGTTTTCCTTTAAGAAAGAAGTTTGGCCATGTGCAACCTCTAGAACTTTGTAAGTTTGTCAGAAACTGTGTGTGATGATGGACCATCATTGTCAACCTGACTGGGTTGAAAATTTCTATGGAAACAAACCTCCGGATGTGTCTGTGAGGATGCTTCCGTAAAGATTTAACTGTAGAGGGAAGATGAGCCCTAAACGTGGGTAGTACCATCTCAGGGCCAGGATCCCTGACTGAACGAAAAAGAGAAAACAAGACAAGCAGCCGCACTTATCCCTGCTTCCTGACTGTGGGGTCCACGTGACCAGCTGCCTCACACTTCTGCTGCCACGCCTTCCTTGACATGATGGGGTGCACCTTCAGCCGTGACCCAACGCCTTCTGCCGTGGTTGTCAGGTGTTCGTCACAGTGACGGAGAAGAGGCACTAACGCTTTGTACTCTCCCTGTGTTTGGTGCCTTCCTCTGGGATGTTTCACATTGTGATCAGCAGGAACTCCTCTAGAAGGAAAAGAGTCTCTGCTCTGAATTTGGGGGTGTGAATTTGGGAGTGTGAATGCAAGTGTGTCCACCTTGCAGCTCGTTTTAAAGAGAGGATGCTCCTGAGTGGATCTGTAAGTGGCAGCTAGGAAAGGGGAGAAAGCTGGGGTGGCTCTTGAAGCCCTTGGGGAGCACAACAGGGGGCTTTTCCATTTAGGGGTCCCCAACCCTGGAAGTATTTTTCATGTTAGAACTTGTTCTCTGAACATGAAGCATCCCTTCCCATCTGGACTTTGCAATTCCTACTCATCCTCCAAGACCGCATCCCAACGCCACCACTCCAAGAAGACTTCTCGGTTCTCTAGACAGGGTCCATTGCTCTGATCAGCCAGTCCCCAAATGCCTTGATGTCTTCCATCAGTTTGTCTGTGGTTACCCTGAAGCATTTCGTGGATCTCTTATCTTTTGTTGGACTGTAAGCGCTTCAAGGAAAGACGGAATGCCATATTCATTTAGTACCTCTTGCACTTAACACAACACTCAACAAATACAAAGAATATTGTTTGATGAACGAATAAAAGAAAAAGAGTCCAAGAAGAAGGCAGAGTATACCGGGGAGTCGGGCAGAGGTGAGCTCCAAGGCACGGAGCTTTCCCCGTTGCTCTCTGACAAAGTGTGCTGACATCTTGGCCAGGACCCACTCCTTGTGTGGACCCACTCCTTACATAAGCCGTTATGCAACAAGCTGAACGGTGCTTTTCCATTCTAGTAAATACACTCCCCCCAAGGGAGATACAGAGTTATTATTCCAACTGGTTAGTCAATCCTCGGAGAGCAGCGAGCTTGGGGCCCAAGTTCTGCATCTGTCCACAGTAGGGACAGGCAGTCTCCTGCTTGGCTGCCAGTGCCCCCTCAGCATCTATCACCCTGGGACACAGAGTTCCCTTTGGTATCACATAGAGCAGAGCATGCTGGAGTCCCGGAGCAGGATTTTCTCACTGAGTTCTGTGTGTTCTCTCCCATCCCATACTGACTCAGCTTATCAAGTGGAAAGCTTGAGTGGGTGTCATGCAATTCTAGACTGGCAGGCATCTCTCAAGGTCTCCAGGACCCTCTGTGCTGGTGTAGCACCCTCTGGGCATCCATGTGCCTGGCAAGATGACCCAAACTTTCCTGAGGACAAGTCACAGCATTTCTTAATCACTACCAGCTGAGATCTGTCCTAGCACTCAGAACCCTTTACATAGCATGCAAGTATATTCTCAAGAATGCTCTCATAACCCTCTTGTGTGTGTGTGTGTGTGTGTGTGTGTGTGTATGTGTGTGTATGTGTGTGTGTGTGTTTGTGTGTGTGTGTGCATATGTATATGCATATAGGGAACCAGATGTCAATCCTGGGTGTCATTCCTCTCAGGATCCACACACTTCGCTATTTATTTATTTATATTCAAGACAGGGCCTCTCACTGGTAGAGAGCTCACCCAGTAGGCTAATTTGGCTTCTCCCTTAGCCCCACAGATCTTTTTCTGCCTCCCCAGCTCTGGAAGTACAGGCATGGAACCAAGCTTGTTTTTTTTTTTTTTTTGTTTTTCGAGACAGGGTTTCTCTGTGTAGCTTTGCGCCTTTCCTGGAACTCGCTTTGGAGACCAGGCTGGCCTCGAACTCACAGAGATCCGCCTGGCTCTGCCTCCTGAGTGCTGGGATTAAAGGCGTGTGCCACCACCGCCCGGCCCAAGCTTGTTTTTTGCATGTGACTTCTGGGGATCAAATTCAGGTTCTCCTGCTTGCACGGTAAACACTTCATTGACTGAGTTAGCTCCTAGTGTCACTAAATCCCTTTTCTTGATAATTTTTCTCTTTTTCTGGTGTCATATTTATTTAAAAATTTTCTGGGCAGGAGGGCCTGTGGTTGAGGGGTGGGGTGCCAAACAAAACAACAACAGAATATTTAACACCACAAAGGTCCTCACCCCGGACACAAATGCCTTGAGCAGCCTCTGAGAAGCCGGCCTCACCTTTTTGAAGGAGGTGAGCAACTTGACGCTCACGTAGCCAAGCTTGTTCCTTCGCACGTGCTTGAGCAGGAAGGCATCCTTCTCTAGGTTTTCATCTGAAAAGTAGAACTCAATCTGATCCACCAGCTTCCTGATGAGCTCCTCATCCGGGGGCTTCCATTCCGGCTCCAGTTCCTCATGCTCATTCTCACCTCCACTTGTCGTGGCGCTGCTGAGACCAGAGGGAGATGCCAAGTTAGTTACAGGTTGAACTGTCACCCTCCAAATTCACAGATGGAAGCTGCAGGGCCCAGGAGCCCAGAATGTGGCCTGATCTGGAGTCAGCCACTGTGGATGTTAATATAAGAGTGAGCCCATCATAGAGTAGGATGGCCCCCAATCCCATGCCGATGAGGTTCTCATGAAAGCCAGGAACTTGGGCACAGACACAAACCAGGAAATGGCTACTCAGGATGAAGGTGGAGATTCGGGTGAAAACCAAGTCAGCTGGGGAGAAGCCTGGCAGATCCTTTCCTAGAACCATGATAGGGAGCAGGTCCCTGCTCCATCTCTTCCTTCCGCTACCATTTCTAAGTGTATGTATTCTCCAAGCATCTATCCTTGAGTGAACATTTGATCTTATCTCAACTGGACCCTTCATTTATGACTTCTCTGTTGGTTATACACCATCCAGCATGCACCTGGTTGTCATAGCAACCCTTGGAAATTAGACTGGCCATATCTGAATTAGCTTCCTTAAAGGTAGTTGGCCACATGACCATAAAATATTCAGAAAGTTCTGTCCTCAATCACCCGAGAACTCAAGCTTTTGTTTTAACAAGTATAGAGGATCTTGAAAAAAATAACACAGGGCAGAGGAGACAGCTCAATCGGTAAGGTGTCACATGAGTATGAGAACCTGAATTCAGATCCCCAGCACACAGGTAAAAAGCCAACACAAGGTAGTGCCTGCCTGTAATCCCAATATTAGGGAAGCAGAGACAGAAAGACCCCTGGAGTGTCGGCCAGCAAGGCTAGCCAAATTGGTGGAACCCAGGTTCAAAGAGAGGCTCTGTCTAAAAAAAAAAAAAATAAGATAGAGCATGACTGAGAAGATACCAATATCAGTCTCTGTCCTCCACATATATGCACATGTACATGTATACGTACAAACACACCTGCACAAAAATAAACTGAAAAATGGGGGGTGGGGCGGTGAGTAAAAGAACAGATTCACCATCCACTGAGATTTCTGTGTCACTCGGATGCCAGCAAAATGCACTGATTCCCAAATGACATACATGGTTTTTGTCTTCTCTCCTCATCTTCCCACCTCCAGATGTGATATTTAGAAGACAGTAGAGTAGAGGATATGGATCGCAGGGCCTATCCTGGAACCCTGGGCTTTCCAAGATGCTGCCATGCCAGAGATACTCCATACAAAAACAGGAGTTGATCTGTTACCTGGCTGGGGGGAAACGCCTCTTCCTTCATAGCCATGTGATCACAGCCATTGGGGAGTACAGTTCAAATGAGACCCAATGTCCACGCAAGGGTAGATGCTCGGAAGATGTGAACATTGAGAAGTGGGAGGAGAAAGGAGAGGTAGAACAGGCAGGTATGTGAGGGAACGGATCCAGGCAGAGCAAGTCACCTATGCCCAGAGGGAAGGGAGCAGGGAGAAGGTGGGTGACGGTGTTCAATCTTGTGATGAGGTGCAAGAGGACCAGGTGGAGCGTGGGGGCCAGGTAAACATGCTCTGGATGGGTGTCTCTGGAGGGAGGTCTGACTGCGCCCCATCTTCCCATGTGAGGTGGGAGATGAGCGCTGTGCAGGGAGGAAGCAGACACGGCCAGCCTTGGGGAGCCCAGGGCTCCAGCCCAGGTCCTGAGAGGCAGAGGCTCCACTCCACGCCTTTTTTCTGCCTTGCTTTGTTTATGAGTTCACCTTTGATCGGGCATCAGCTGCTCCAGTTTGGGAGTAGCACTTATTGGTCTGCCCCCTCTCTGTGTGAGTCATTTGTAGTAAGTTCTATCATTTGCCAGTGCACCAGAGTCCAACCCAGACTCTCCACTGGCCATCATCATATACCCCATCCTATCCCCCACCCCCACCTCCTAACAGACATCTTTATTGGCAGGGCTCAGAATCCCTAGGTGTTTGTAGTCATTTTCACTGGTGTAGTGTTTGAAGGCATCCCATTATAAAATGAGAATCTGGGGTCACTTAAATCCCATGGCCTCTTCTTCCAACGTTAAAATTTTTATTTTACTATTGGTTCTTTTCTAGCCTTCTGTCTGTCGTCTGTCTGTTTTGGGATTTGCAGACAGAGTTTCAGGTAGTTCAGACTAGCCTTGAACTCACTATGTAACCAAGTGACCTGTTCCTCTTGCCTCCACCTCCCATGTGCTGGGAATATAAGTGCACACCACCAGGCCCAGTTTTCACGGTGATAGCTATCCAGCCCAGGGCTTCACATGTGCTAGGTAAGTACTCTGGCAGTGGGACCACATCCCAGATCTGTTTGCTTTTGAGTGTACATTTCAGATGGTCTCTTACGTCATTAGCATCCTCTCAATCACTGCTCATTATATAGATATGTGCTGTATCGTCCCAGCTTCTGCTTCTGACCTTCCAAATTCGATTGGAAGAACTTCTGCTCCATTTTCCATAGTTTATTACCTCGCTCTATGCTGCAAAATAATATTGCAAATGCTGTCTAGAGATAGGTATGAAAGTTGAAAGTTAATCTGTTTTATTATTGTGGCTGTGTAAACACATTCCCTGCAAGGCAGTTATTTGCTAAGATAACATTTGTTTAAGTGCTGGGTGGGGATCAAATCCAGGGTCTTGAGCATACTAGGCAAGCTCTCTACCACAGAGCTACACATCCATCTCTTTTGAGACAGTTTTGTTTTTCCGTTTTTGTTTTCAAGGCGGGTCATACAATGGTGGCCGGGCTAGCCTTGACATCACTGTGTTGTTCAGGCTAGCCTTGGATTCTCCAGATTTTAGTGCCCATACTTTCCATGTGGTGGGATTATAAAGTGCACTGCCACACCCAGCTAAGATTGTACTTTTTTTCTGAACGTGTCCTAATAGTTAAGTGACCGTCTGAACTGATCTTTGCTTATCCTTTCTTGCGTGCATCTGTCTTTGCCTTAGTAGTGAAGAACAGTTTTTGATCCTCAGACTGTATGACTGTATCCTCCTGCTTTTTTTTTTTGCATGTGCCTGTATGTGTGTGTGTGTGGGGGGGTAATGTCCACATGCATATGGGTATATAAGTGTGTACCTGGTTTACAGGCGGGCCACCATGCCTGTCCCACATTGATGTGGGTACTGGGGATCCAAATTCTGGTCCTCATGCTTGTACAGCAAGTACATTACTGACTGAGCCATCTCCCAGTCCTTGACTGTTCTCTTTTAAGAGCATACTGTTCTTATTTGGTGGGTACAGTAGCTTAAATTCCCTCTCAGGGTATTGACTGGAGCGCTGACTTTTTAAACACCCAAGTGCTGACTGTTTAAACACTGCACCTCTGTGTTCTGGGGTGCCCGTTCTTTTAATTATTTTTCATGCTATTGCTTTGCTTCAAGTGACGAATAAACAATTCACTTTTTGTTTAAAATTTTAATAAGCTTATTTTAGAATAGTTTTAGAGTTACAGAAAAGTTATTAAAATAGCACAGTGAGTTCCATATGCCTCACACCAGGCATATTTATTATTAATGTCTCCTAATACTGTGGTATACTTCTTAACGAGGGCAATTACGCAGTATCATTAGCTGAAGCACATAGTTTAGACTTCCATCATTTTCCCCTTAAGGATCCCACTCAGGAATCTTGATGACATGCTGTATTACATATCTCCTGAGGCTCCTCTTGGCTCTGACTTTCTTCAGATGTCCTTATCTGTGATGACTTGGATGGTGTTGGAATGTACTAGTTACGTATGTTGTGGAATGTCTTGCCATTGAGGTTTCTCTGTTGCCTCCACCGTGATTATTTTAAGGCATAGGATGCAGGAAGGAGGACCACAGGGGTAAACTTCCATCCTCCGTACATCACATCAGGATACAGTTAGCAACATGACTTCGCACTGTGCTGGACAGGTTTCTCCACCTAAAAGCATCCCTTTCCCTTGGAAGAAATCAGGATCCCTTGCCTCCTCTTCGGGAGGGACGCTAAGCTCTGTGAACTAATCAGAAGGAGGAGGACCCGGTACCTCTCTTAGTGGGTTAAATGGCTCCCCCTGCAGCTCTCTACCCTTGTTGGTTTTTTTCCTAGTTGGCTCTAAACACTTGACGGGGGCAGGCTTCAATGTAGAGCAAACACAAGAGAATCACCCGGCTTTTCCCTGCAGCTGCAGCTCCCCTTAGCCTCCCTAGAACTCCCTACTTTATGAGGTGCGACACCTTCAGTTCCTTCAGAAGCAACCTCACTTCCTTTCTCCTGCCTGGAAGTACCTGCCATGTTGCCCGACTCTCTTTGCTGGTAGACAGAGGCTGGCAAACATGTCTAAAGGGAAAATGTAAATTAAATTACCGATTGGATATTGCCTTTCTTTTCATTCTTTTATTTTCATGCATTTCCCGAGCAGAGCCTTTCTGTGTTCCATCTCCCACCTCCTCCCACCTCCCGCACTGTATTTTGGGCTCCAGCCTCCTCCACACAACGCCACATCACATATTGTGAAGAGGCTGTTAGAGTATGCAGCTGTTCTATCTTGACAATATTACTACTGATGGCAACACGGTCCCCATTGCCCACCGGACAAAGCCTACAGTGCTTAGCTGCATATTCAGATGCACTTAGAACCCAGCTGGCTCCATCAGGCAAGCTCAGATCCATTTACTTTCCTCAAGGTCCTTTGCTCCAAGCAAACAGAAAGGCCCCTGTGTCACAAGTTTCCTCACTTCACACCTTTGCACACGCTGCTTCTGACTCCTTGAATGGCTTGTCCCCCTCTTAGCCATGCAGCTCCCAAGTGACCTTCCAGGAGGGAAATCGCCTTCTCTAATGCTTGTCTGTATCCGTGTCCTTGCTCCTCATGTGCACGTCGTACTAGCCCCCCTGAACGCCAAGTTGAAGATACAAGTCATATTGGCTTCTCTTATTCTGGTACCATTGAAGAGGCTTGCACATAGTACCAAGCTTTAAAAGTGTTTGTAATATAAAGCAAATAGGTTTTGTTAAAGTAATTCATATCTATAGAGACCTTTGTT